CTCCGAATTGTGTGACGATAACGGTGCGGTCAAGAAGTCTGTAGTTGCAACTGGTAAGCCATTGTTGAATAGAGTGTCACAGAATAGAGTTACTGCTTCAGAGTGCAGTTCTGACTCCACAAGTTTACAAAGTATAACTAGTCAGAGTGAAGATATAAAACCTTTAATGATTTGTGAGGAGTAACGAAGATTGTCTACTTCTGTTATTAAAGAGTTTGAAAATGATGAAATTGACGGTAAATTGAAAATTTGTGGTAATGATCATGATAGTGCAGATTTGTCTTTGGTTGAACATGATGAAATGGAGGGAATGCCTACTACCGCTAAGTTAAATAAAGGTTCTGTACAACTTGAACTGAAGTGGAAATAAATCAGATGCAGTTGCAGAAGGCATGCATACTTGTCAGACCGTCAGTGTGAGTGATCAGCATGTAGCCCACCTATCATCAGATGCTAGTGTTAAACCTGAGCTGATAGTAAAAGACAGCAGTGATGGTGGTCTTGCAGGTAGACAACTCTCTAAAATTCGAGCAACAACAGCTTCTGATCCACCGCTAACTTCATCAACTGGTATCGATCGGTCATCGTTGGTGTTGTCATCCACAATGAAACAGTCGCCCATCAACTCAAGTATCTTGTGCAATGACTATGCTAGTATCAGTTCGTTTGAAAGGACGAATATCAATGGTCAGTTTAGTGAGGATAAGCCAAGTGTAAACGAAAGAGTAATTGTTAAATTGACTTGCACGAATAAAGGCATTTCTAGTTTCAAGTTACTATTTGAATGTTATTATCTTTGGTGTAAACTACTCTGTTTCTACACTTGGTTGATGAGATATGTCGCGTGTTTGTTCGTCATCTATATTCTACGGTACAATGACATGGGCGTGTTGCCGTTCAGATTTGAGGATATAGCTCATAGAAGGAAGTTAGCAAATGAACTCTGCGACGATTTTCCAACATAGAGCGTCAACCCGAGAAGGGTTGTAGGCGTACTGCTGTAAGTCCTACAATTCTTCAAAGGGTAGCGCATCAATGAGCAGTCCAATGTGCTCGGTGTGTGATTTTGTACATATGTTCATATTGCATATACTGAATTGATATCATCTGTCATCTAGCTGTTGGTAATTCTGTTTGTGTCCGGACGACTTCCACTTGGATCATCAACCTGAGAAGGAATGTAGGCGTACTGCTGTAAGTCCTACAGTTCTTCAAGGGTAGTTTGCCGTGCCAGAATTCACCACTTTGATGTGTTGATTTAACTTATGTTTGTGTTAAATAGTTGTGTGAGTTCCAATTGATGTAATTGTTGGTTAATCTTGTTTGTGTCCGTACATTCCACAACTTACAATCGTCAACCTGAGAAGGGTTGCAGGCGTACTGGTGTAAGTCCTGTGATTCTTCAAAGGAATTCCATCGAGACGCGATCTGCGAGTTTGTTTGTACTGTTTGTATATATGTGTGGTGTGTCTTCTGAATTTGTGATTTTGGATTCATTGTGTTTACTCGTTGTTTTCGTACCTTGTTGTTATTGCATAGTTTTGTTAAAATTTTCGTCGCGATAACTTCTGAAGCTGTGTCCACTCTTCTACATCCGTGAATGAATTGATTGATGTTAAGGACAGCAGATGGGGCGTATACGCCGGGAAGGCTATTGCTGAGAATGAAATGCACACGGAGATAATTGTTAGGTGCGGTCCGACACGCCGGGGAGAGAGTGTAAACGACTGAGGCTCGCATACGTCATCGTTACTAGAATTGAGGCAGAATGAGTGACAAGCGATTTCAGTGGTAATTGGTAGTGAGTAGATAAGAGGATGAGCGTATAGTATCGTGAGGTACTGCCATGGTCACGTTGCATTCTGCAAGAGTCATTCTAGCAAGTGGCGGTTGCGTTGCAAGCGGATACCTTTAACTGGAAGGCACAGGTCGTCATTGATGTGTGAGATTGTGCTGTGAGTATGCTTGTGGTGTGTTGGCTTTTCTGTTTGTTTTCCATTTCAGCTCTGTCCGAGTGACCCAGGTTCTCGCAGTGGTATCCAAGTCAACGTGTATTGGTCGTGAAGGAAAAAAGGGATGGATCCCTTTTTTGCCGGGGAGTGTCAATGCAGTTGAAGATTGAACGATCAATTCATGGTTGTTTGCTCAAAACCAACTTCCCCAATTTTCGCGGAGGCATCAATACGACAGTCATCGTCTCATCGGTCGCTGTTCAGAAAGAAGTCAGGAGAAAACCATCAGAATTAATTTCATGATTTATTATTGTAATATTTGTTCACAGACCCTAGTAAACCCATTATTTTTATATGTTGGTGTAACAATAAAGAAATCTCGAGTGGCCAATCGGTCTTTTGGTTTTTTCGTCCGTTATTACTAAGCGTTTCTGAAAACCTGCAAGGAACAGCGTGGGCCCGAGCGTAGCAAGAGCTGGGCATTAACGGTTTATGAGACGTGACTGACAGGGATCTTTTCTTTTCTAATAGCAACCTAGGCACTATCCTACTAGACTTTTGCCAGAATGTATTTATTTGCTTTGATAAACTTGTTCCTAAATGTAAAGAGAACCCAAGAGAAAACATAAAGCATTTCATTCCTAGAAAAGTAAAGGCTAAGCTCCGAAAGCTGTACCGACAGTACCACAGAGAAAATGACTTCTCATGTCTGCTAAATATACAGAACATTTATCTCGCTTTGAAAGAAAATAACGACAAAGCCCTACTCAGACAAGAATATGCAGCTCTTAAAGATAGCTCTAGATACACTGCAATCTGTAGACTTTATCGCAAAAGGCTAAACTCCCGTAAAACGGATACACAATTCATTTTAGAAAATGGTGAAACTGCTAGTGACCCTAAAATAATTTGTGAGTTTCTAAACTCCTATTTCTCACTGTCATATACCTATGATGATAATACGTTGCCACAACCTCTATTCCCTGTATATTCACAAAAACCTTAGAAATTATCAGCTTTTCTTTAGATAATATTAAGAAAGCAATCAATTCTCTTAAAAGTTCAAACAACCCAGGTCCTGATATGATTCCCTCAACTTTTTTAAAATACGGTGGTGAAGACATTCTTATTCTCCTTCTTAAATTGTTCTCTACCTCTCTATCAACTGGGACATGCCCAGGTACATGGAAAACCACACACAATACCTCTAGGTATAAGTCAGGCTTCCTTTCAAGAGTCATGAGTTACAGACCCATAAACATAACTTCTGTTATTTCAACGGTTCTGGAAAAGATCGTAAAGAGTTCCATTTTTGACTTCCTCTCTCACGAGAAACTTATCACTCCTTATCAACATGGTTTCATGAAGTCATGTTCTTGCACGACATGCCACTTACAATTTTTCTACCACATCTCATAACTTAGAGATTCCAGTATGATCACAGTTATTGTATACTTAGATCTTAGTAAAGCCTTTGACACTGTAAGCCACCGACTGTTAATATCAAAAGTCTAGTCTTATCGGATCCGGGGTTCATTGTTAAGCGGGCTCAGTTCGTTTCTAAGCAACCGGATGCAAATGGTCAGGTTAGGTTCCCGCACATCCAACCCCGTTCGGATAACAAGTGGAGTTATACAAGGCAGTGTCCTAGGTCCACTGTTATTCCTGTTATATTTTAATGACATTTGCGACGTTATTAAACATGGCAGACCTTTCCTATTTGCTGATGACATCAAAATAGTGTATCACTCACTCAGAAATGAAGTGTCATGTGTATTTGGTAGGATTCGGGATGATATTGATAGCGTCCAATTATGGTGTAACAGGTGGAAAATGAAGTTTAACGTTGAAAAATGTGGCGTGCTATGCTCCAAAAGCATTTCATCTGAACTTTCCATCTCCCTACACAACAAACATATTCCTCGTCTGCCGCTTACAACAGATTTGGGTCTTAAATACACTCCAGAATTTAGCCTGACGGTCAAAAGGCTCTTTGATTTTTATTCCGAAACTTTATAATAATAATAGTAATAATGTATATTTTCATATAAACATATAAATTTACATGAAAATGCATACCATTTTTACAGGTACGATCAAGTATGATATAATATCAAATCGTAGATTGTTAATAATGTTTCAACGGCTAAATATTTGATATGTATGTATAAATACACTCATTGTCTGAACCAGGCCGTATAGTTATTGAATTGTACAGTTGTCCTCCAGGTTTTGCGGGAAAATCAACTTCGTTTCGTTTTCATTGAGTGAATCCAAAATTATGCCGTACAAGTTGTGCATAAGGCCCTTACTTGAATTTCGCCCCCCTATCACGGTTAGTGTCTCCGTAAAAGACAGATGCAAATTAGAAAGTCTACAAAGGGTGGTTACTAAGCGTCTAGTAGGTGAAAATCTTTGCATTTCTTACTACAACAGATGTAATATATTCGACTTGGAACCCTTATGGGTTAGACGACTGAGGTTCAACCTTAAAATTACATTTAGGATTGCTAATGGGCTTATATATTTCCCCAACAATTACAGGGTGATTTGATGAGTGTAGGTGGTTTTAACTAAACGTGGACCTTACTCGGGGTACCTGAAGTGCATCGCTTTCATAAGTTATGCAGGCACTAGCATTTAGACTATTGCGATCTATTCTTCCTGTCAACGGAATACACAGAAACTCCTTAATTTTAGTCCTCTACACCTCCGTATGGGAGTAACATACCAAGATGAGTATCGATTGATTCAGGTGTTTCATGATTGCTACGATACTGTAAGGATCTCTCCTTAAGTAGCTTGTAATCAGGGTAAAATATTGCTCACACCTCTGTTTTTCTCTCTAAGTGGGCTTTCAATTTAAGTATCAAAATTGCTGTGAGATTATAAAGCCCTGTCTGCAGAAGAATTCTATACAATCATATAAGCAGCTGGTCTTTAACAACTAAACAACCGGTATATCACTGACTGTTCGCATATCACGAATTAACTTAGGACCCCACTGAATCTTCCATCTGTCCACTCCACTGTTTTTCAGTGACTAACGCGTATACCACGGTATAATATCAGTTTTCTCTATTCCCATGCGAATGAATGGTCACATTGTCACTTCCGAATTTAAAATAAATTCGAATATGAGTAGTATTCATGATAAAGAACTTCACTTAATTAACTAGCTTGCTAATCTTCCAGCTGGTTCCAAGTCCAGGTAAGGAGGGAGGGTCGGGCGTAGGGCTAGCAGTCCCACACAACTAAACCTATCATACCGCTAGAGAAACTTCAACACACAGGAAATATATTAAAAATATGAAAAATCTTATTCTTCGCTCGAATCGGAGAGGCGGAATGACACAGCGGGCTGGTAAAAGCCTTCGGGAAGCCATTCGGCAGATTTGTTTCTTTTAAATGAAGGCAAGAATAAGAATTGGGACTTGGAATGTCCGTACAGTGTGAGAGACTGGGAAGGCTGCCCAGGTAGCCAAAGAAATGCGAAGATCTAACATAGAAGTCCTGGATATCTGTGATAGCAGATGGAATGGATGTGGACTGTCAAAATTAGCAACTGGTGAGTAAGTAATCTACTCCAGTCTGGTCACCCAGACGATAATCACGAGCACACTGAGGTAGTGAGTAGCTACCATGATTTCATCAGTGACAGTCAAAGCCCTAATGCTTTGGGGACCGATTTCATATGGTATCATGACAGCGAGATTCAACTCAAAAGGAAGGAATGTTGCAATCATCCAGTGCTAAAAACATCGTGGAAGAAAAGAAGGAAGATTTTTACAAACAACTACAAACGGTAATGGACAACACCAAAAATGGTGACATCAAAATCCCTATGTGCGATACGAAAGTTGGCTGAACAGGGAGCATATAATGCAGGAAGAGAACTGATCATGTGTCGAGAAGCTGTCGATCGGAGAAATGAATGAGAACGGAGAATTATTCCCAGACTTCTGCTCTTTCAACGATTTGGTGATTGGAGTGAGCGCGTACAAACACAAGGATATACACAGGGCAACACGGATTCCATATCAAACTCTAGGAGTTGGAGAAGCAGCCTTCTGGATACAAAGTCGGATGGAGGAGCAGATGTGAGCTCAAGGAACCTTCGAGGTGAAGCTGAAATCCATGAAAATAAGTGGAGAGAGGCCAAAATTCGAGTTCAGCTTTCGGTAAATGAAGGACAAAACTACAAGGAATGCTTTCACTACAGATATCAGAGCAAAGTCGGGACACTGCGTGGCATTACTGAGGACACCAGAGCAGAAGAACCTTGGAACTCTCTGAAGGTGATATTTAAGGAAACGTCTACGACTGTCCTAGGAAGAATGAAGAGATAAGACAAGGAATGGTTATCAACGGATAACTGGAAGCTAATTGTCAACGTCCAGGTCTAACTACGCTGGACTTCATATTGTCCTTGAAAGACTTTCAGGAACTATGTTCAATAACCAACGTAAAATCCAGAACACAAATTGATGACTTAAGAACCGTTTATTCTTGCGCCAATACAGAGCCAACCATTAGGTTATTGTACACAAAGTCTTAGAATGTCATAACAAGAAATCACAATAATACTTTTGATAGTTTTTCTGTCTTCCAACGAACAGCGAACGATGAAACGACGACTGCAGTATCGATGACTCCCGCCAAAATATAGAGTTGTGTTTGAGCAAATAACCATGAATTGACCGTTCAATCTTCAACTACATTGACATTAATCGAGGAGAGAAGGATGGTGAAAGGGAAGATGACCCAAGGCAAAGATGCATAACAGGAGAATCTGTGTTCAATGTGCGCTGCACTGCATAAAGTGGTAAAGAAGAGTACTAGGAAAGACAAGAGATAATTCTAAGACACATTGGCGATTGAAGCAGAACAAGCCGCAGGCAAGAGAGATCTCAAGATATTATATCAACTAACTAGGACTTTATGTGGAAAGAGGTCAAGTTAGATAATGAAACCAATAAAATATGTACATGCGAACATGATTACCAAGGAGAGGAAACAAATAAAACAATGGGCTGATCAATTTATAGGAATCTTGAGTCAACCATTAACTACAACTCGCCCAGAGATACCACCACCAAAAGCACGCACAAAACTGTCTCCCAGTGGACACCAACCCTCCAAGGAAAGCAGGAATACTGAATGCGATGGCGCTACTGAAGGCTGGGAAGGCAGCAGGACCAGACGGAATTTCCACACTACGAGCTTTAACAACACCATAGATACACCAACAGTTTTAAAATCTAATGTCACAGGGTATAGGGAGAGATTAATAACAGAAGCTTTGTTTATCGAATCAACTGCAAATACATGTAATAGAAATGATTCAACACCTGTCCCAGATATATGGAAAATTCTACTACCATTACGACAAATAGGAGAAGACAAAGACCACACTACGACCCACTGAAAACAGATCCACAGAACGCAGCAGATGTTCTCACGCCATTATTGCAAAAGTCTGGAAAGAAGGAATGGCCCCTTCCAGTTGGAAGAAAGGATACCTCGTCAAACTGCTAAAAAAGGGCGACTTAGGCATGTGCACAAACTAGTGTAGAATAATGCTCTTGTTCACACCAAGTAACATACTACGTCGCGTCAACCTGGAGAGAATAAAGGATGCACTGGATACAGAACTCCACCCCACTGACCAGAACAAGCTGGATTCAGGAAAGGCAAATCATGTCCTGATCAAATTGCAACTCTACACATCGTTGTCACAGAACAAAGCATAGAATGGCAGTTAATCCTCACTCTACCTCAACTTCATTGACTTCGGAAAGGCCTTCGACAGACAGCGTGGAAAGAGAAGTAATTTGACAACTACTTCAACACTATGGCGTGCAGTGGCCAAGTCTTTATCAACATCATTCAACAGCTGGCTAAATAACAGTGCCGCGTGTCAAGTGATCCACAACGGAAAACTCAGTGAGGCGTTCGAAGTGCATTTAGGAGTAAGACAAGCCGACTGCTTATTATTACCGATGATATTCTTAGTTGTGATGGAGTGGATTATGCATCAGACTGTTGGGGTGAGAAGTCAGGAATACGCTGAATGACTGATGAAAGGACTCTAGAAGATCTAGATTTCGTAGGTTATAAATGTCTAATGTCACACAAACTCAAAGACTTACAGGCGAAAACCAACAAACTGGCAGAAGAGGCTGACAGGCAGCGAAGATAGGATTCCAAGTGAACATAGAGAAGATGTAGGTGATGAAGATAACCAACGAACCGCAACAGCACAGACAACCAGCACAAATCACTATCAACGGGAGAGATTTGACAAAGGTTACCCCTTTCACTCATCTGGCCAGGAAGCATCGTTTTAACTGCAGGTGGAACGGATGGAGATGTCAAAGACAGCCAGAATCGGAAAGGAAAGATACGCCTTCATTAACCTGAAACCAATTTGGAAATCTTTTACACTCAGCATAAGTAACAAAACTCGCATTTTCAACGCCAATGTCAAGTCGATCCTTCTGTATGGGTCAGCAACTTGACCAGAGTGTGACTAAAAGGATTTCCAACAGGTTGTAGACTTTCATCAACAGCTGTCTTCGATTCATACTGAAGATGAAATGGCCAGAAAGAATAAGTAAAGAGAAACTGTGGAAACAATCCATCCAAGATTCGATAGATCAACAAATATGTAAAAGAAAATGCGGATGGATCGGACATACATTGAGGAGACGGTCGGATGACATTGCGCGCAATGCAGGCCATCATACGAATGGAATCTCAGTGTGAAGCGTCGAGTGGGTCATCAGGGTGAGGGTGACGTGGAGGAGGTCGTGTGAGTTGTAGGAGATGAGGGATTGCGGGTAATCGTGAATCCAGATGAAAGGGAGAGCAGAAAGTAGAAGAAAGTGGAGATGCGTTGTTGAAGTCCTATGTTTCACTCGGAAATCAAGGGAATAGTAATAATTCATGACAAAGAAATTTAGTGTCTTCAGAAGCGTCGCATTCACCCATGAAATAGAGCCACAAATAACTAGAAGACGAACTGTATTGAAAATGTTTGATATCAAGAAAATCACATACCAATGAAGTATGTTGGACAGTGCAAAAATACCTAAATGAAAAAGTCTAGGAAAATACGGTTTCCTACCACACACAATCGTAACTAACTTTTGAAGGACATAACGCATCAGAAAATGCAGTGTGGGATGTTTTAAGGAAATAAATGGTTCACAAACATCAATAAATTAATAGGTATCCTTTCGCGATACCATAGTTACGTTTGTTTATTTTTATTCATTTTCAAATGCCCATACGAACCAATCACAGCTAGCGCGCATATCGTCTTTGTCAGGTGTGAGGCAGTTTTGCGTTTTTGTCTGAGTTACACGGTACTCGGTTGTTTTTCCGCCTTCTGAATCGTCGTATCCTTCGGCTACTTTAGCCTGACACCTGGGTGCATCTTTCGCTCCTGTTGAAACATTCATGTGTCCCACTTTGCTAGCGTCTGCAGATGCATGCGTGCGTGTTCTAGACAACCATTGTGTTTTACGATGTACTGCCCCTCCATTTTAATTACCTTCTAATGTGCTGTACAGCAGCCTATAGGCAGATGTCGTGTCTGAATGATATGTGCCTTCATTTATGACATTTTCTTGATATTGTTTGTCCAGGGAAGTAAGATACGAAATGCCGGTCGGTAAGTGGGAATGAGTAGGTCTTATGTAGAACTATCATGCCAGTAATATTACATATTTTTCTTAGTGAAGTTAAAAAATAGGAAGCCACTTCGAGTGTTTCATATAATACCAGCGTTCTTGTATTTCATTCCGTATCATTACATAATTCGTAGTTGCAAACATTTTTATCGTCCTAAGATTTTATTGAATAACCACATATCTGTTAAGGTTCCAGGCATTTATGTGTAACGTTTTTGATCTTGGCTGCCGAAAACTCAACAGGTGGTGGGGGGCGTGTCGGGAGCTGAGTATTTGCTGAGTACTTGATCTAAAGGGGTCATGACCTCAGTGTCGAATTTTTGTCCGGAATACACTGTAGTATGATTCTGTGGATTTCTCAGTCGGGTATTATCGGTTTCCTGTGTCAATAATTTTAGTTTTTGTAACTACTGTAGCTAAAATCTTTTGGTGTAAATCTAAGGGGCCTAGTGGTCTTATAGGTTTACTGCTGAAAAAGCTTAGTGATAGTGATGAAAGCATTCACTTATTGCGTTTCAAGGAAATCAAGGTTTGGTTATCTGGGTAACAGTCGAATTCCATAATTGCGGTGTACACTTCGTTAAAGTTAATATCCTCATAGAAACTGAATCTTAAACGTCAGAGTGGATTTTTTTTTCTAGTTTTGTGAGGACTGGTGGAATATACTATTTTCTGCCCGAATTTAGAATGGAATGCACTTCAGTTTATGAAGGATAATAGAAAACATCTCACAGCGGTATATTTTTGTCTAATAATCGATAATAATATACTGTTAATTCTGGCGTATGGCGTCTTGTGTTTTCTTGTGAAATCGCACGAAAGCACAGGTTTTGACCGCTTGTAAGTGTATTGATTAGACTGTTTCTGCTGCATGCATAGTGTGCATGGTTCCTGGAGTAATTAAGTTTTAACATTAAGCAAAGGTTACTATTATGGTGTAGATTACTGGTGTTATAAAACATCCAGAATAACTTAAAACCCAAACTGATTGCAATCTCTTTTTATAAGAGTGGGAAAGAAGTATACAATGCAATAGACCTTGTTCTCAAATGTGCTTAGGTTTTTATATTTAACTACTGAGTAGGTTTATGTGCCATGAGGACTCAATATTTTTTTAAAGCATACACTTAGTATATCGCTTGCAGTCAAAACATTTTAGTGTAATTAGTAAGTGCGAATTCCTGTTTTTATTTAGAGGTTTGACGTGTTGTAGTTCACTCAGTGCGCCTTAAATCCATTGTCTTCTTAAGGTTTCAGCATATACGACCGGCTAGTATTACTAGCATTCAAATATTCAGTTTGTTTTATAATCTAGTGCCTAAGCTGGCACGGTGTCGTTTCACTGCATTTATTGTTATTATTCGATATTTGTCGATGGGGAAATATTTGTATTGCGCTTACACTGACGTATGGTTTAAAATATACATGTTTATTTGCTTTTACATGCTTTTAGCACATACTTGACTCTAGATGGTGCTTTCATGCTTCTCTCGTACCTTCTTGGATATCACTTCCGGAGATGGTAGCCTCGCCAAAGCCCTCCAGGACAGTAATCAAAACTGTAGCGTAAATGGAACTCTTGGTGCTCTCCGAACCAGATCTAAGTAAGTCCTGAATTATACAATTATTTTGTAGCTCCAAGACACCAACAAGAACCTTGTCCAGAAGTGGTTTGTCCCCAGATGATTCCAGTATTTCTAGTAGAAAAACTCCAACCTCCTCCGTTAAAACGATGACCGCATTACACGAGTGTGATGGCGACAGGTAATGACGCTGTTCTATTCTTACTTTATGACAGATATATGCCTAGTAGGTCATCAACAAATATGATTCGAGCACAACACATGTTACGAAAGCAGGAAGATGCGGTGGACGAAGAAACTGCAGAATATCAAAAAGCTGTGGCAGAAAGTCTAAATACCAATGATATCCCTGGCAGTAGGATTCTTCGCTACAAAGCAACCGTTCGAGACAGCGCTAGTGTTAAATGCATTACAGAAACTACCAAGTCATCTATAAAGGCATCCTATAAGCGGGCAATACCTCAGGTGAGATTATTTTAAACCTCTTGTAAATGTAATGAGAAATAAAAAAGTCATGTGATCCTAGGATGTAGGTTTTTACTTGGATAACTTGAAAGATAGTTGCCATGCTAGTTTGGAATGTTGTTTTGATTTTCCTTGATTACACTGTCTAAAGTTTTATTCGTTTGATAATGGTAGTGACAAGTTAATTCTCTGTCTGCTTAAAGTGCCACTGTTGTAGCTTGCTTGTTACACTTTAGACTTTCTTCCTAATAGGCTCTGATATGCTCCTCAATGCAGGTGCTCCTGTGATAGGAAAGGTTAAAAATAACACTAATCATTGCTTTTTAGCGTCCCATTAGAGTTAAATAGTTTACTAAGTAACCAAGAAGCTGTAAAGCAGTGTTTTAAATAGGTATAGAGTATTGTTTCAAGCATATCGTAGTTGTGTTCTGTTAGTAATTGTAGGTATAATGGTAGGTTGGTGATACGAAGATCAGTTGAACTCCTGAATTAAGGAGTCGTTAGACTGTTAAAACGATCACATTGAAATTTATTTAAGCGGCACATGTTTTTCCCCTTATTAAATCTGATTATCTCAGTTATCCAAAGCAGATTTTCCATATACCAGGTTTTGAACCACGTTTATTGTGTTAAGGCTTGTTGTCGGAACCAAAATAGGTTGGTTCAGGTCTAGACACAGAGTGTTTTGGCTCGTGGTTTAGTGCTTAGGCAAATTAATTATGCCTAATTAGTCTCCTTTCAAATGTTTTTGAATAGCTTTACAAATGAAGGGAAGTCTTTCGGAAACTTGTAATCTACAAATGTGCTCGTTTGTTTTACATCTACACAGTAATGTGGGTTTCAAAATCGGTGTCCGTCTGACATGCTCCCTGTATTTAATTATTAATTTTATCTTTGTTAGAAACACCACAGTTGCTTTCATCACCAGCCCCAACCACTGTCGTTACTTATACAGCCTTTGTTATCGTCTTTTATTTGTCACCATCATCTTGCTTCCCTGGTACTGTCAGTACTATTCTTCAGGCTAGTCAGTCATCTTCATTTCATTCTCTGACCACAAATAACGATAAGAGCCAGAAGAACACCCTGCACAGCCTCTCAAAGCTACGCCACCAACTTCATACTGGAGCATTTAACGTCAGGACCCTCTACCGATTAGGACAACAGGCATCACTAGCCAGAACTCTGGCATGTCGAGCCGTTGATGTGTTGTGTTTCGGAGACGCGCATACAAGACCCGAGTGTGGTTGTTCACTTAACCCCATCCGGCTGAAAACATAAATCTGCAGGATTCACCTTAAGGGTGTTAAGAGACTTCTTGGCTAGTTCGTGGGGACTCGCACTTGTAGGAATGGCATTGAGTGTTAGGGCAGAAAAATCCCTTCTTGACTGGATCCCAGTCGATAGTCGTGTGTGCGTGGTCCATTTGAACCGGTCCGTCAGAAGAAAGAAGGACTGCGTTACCCATCGTTGTCTTTTCGTAGTCTTCGCCCCGACCGACTGCAGTTCGGATGAACTAAAGGATGATTTCTACCAGAAACTGTCTAGTTTGTCGCAAAAAGTAAAACGCTCAGATAGAGTTGTCTTAGCAGGCGACTTCAGTGCCCAAGTAGGGAAGTCAAGCCAGACTGAGAAGTATATAGATGGTGCTTACGGCGTTCCCTGCCGACGAACCGATAATGACGGTCGTCATCTACAGTTCTGTCCAGATAATCATCTGCTCCTTGTCAGCCCTAACTGTATGCTTAAAGAGAGACATCATGTAACCTGGCAACTTCCATCACCAAATCAGCGTTAGACTCAAATAGACCACGTAGCGATAAACAATCGTTGATGAGGGTCGGTAGAGGACTGCAGCCCCTTCTGAAACACGTGCATAGGCTCTGATCACGCCCTTGTTTGCAAATGTCTATGCTCACGACTAGACAGGCATAAGAAACTGTTGGCAGCTAAGCAGTTACGCCGTCAACTTGATCAGGACACTGAGTCCCTATTTAAGGAAGAAATAGCGAAACGAGCATATGAAGTCGACAAGACTCCTCCTGAGGACACCTGGTGCAACATACACTTAGCTGTAGACACAGCTGTAAAGGCTGTTAATAACCTAAAACTAAACGTTATTAAAAGCCAGTGAATTTCTATCACTTCATCCGAACTGATTGACGCAATAAGACTGATGCTGGCGAGCTCTGGCTATGATGAGGAGCGAAAGCTGCTCAAACGCAAACTAACAAGGAGTCTTCGCAACGGCTGTGAACACTGGTGAGTTACAAAAGCGGAAGAGATGGGAAAGCCATCAGTGATAGGTCACGCCAGAAAACTATTTCGACTTATCAAGGAAACGGGTAGCGAAAAACGAAAGATAAGTTAGACAATCTCCGAGAAAAATGGCACCCTAATAGGCTCCTAAGATAGACGACTGGAATGTTGGAAAGAACACTTTGAGGAGCAGCTTAATTGGCCTACAGTCACGCTCAACCTGCCGAACATCCAACTCCTACCTGAATCGGATATAGACACAGGTCCTCCGTCCCTAACTGAGGTTACAAAAGCTGTCAGTAATCTGAAACGAGGCAAAGCAGTGGGACCTGATGGAATAACTCCAGAGTTGTTCAAGAACGGGGAAGACAGTTTACTGTCTATACTAACTTGAGGTATTAGACAGCGTCTGGGAATCAGAGATAGTCCCGTCGGGATGTTGTAAGTCATTTATTATCCTGATATACAAGAAGGGAGACAAGTCTTCCTGCGATAATCACAGGGAGATTACCTTGACCAATACAATATCTGAATATAAAGGCTCACTAATCATGCATAGATTAAGTGGTACTCGGGAGGCACAAACACGACAGAACCAGTCAGGCTTTAGACCAGGAATAGGGTGTATTGATCATATCTTCTTACTTACTTTACTTTACTTCGGCTATCTCCTACGGGAGGATGAGCCGGCTTCATGAGTTCATGAAGTTTCATGGGAATTGGGTACGAGTGATGTCCCCAGAATCGCTCGGCTTTTTGTTTGAGAGTGCAGCTCTAGCCTTTACACAACCAAGTGTGACCTACAAGGCAGTAGGAGTGGAGTAGGGAGTCCACTATCCATTGGCAGCCGGTGACCGGAGTCCGGTTCATATGCCTTTTTGAATGGGGCTAGTCATCCAGGGCATCCAATAAGCCCTTTGTCCATACGTCTGCCGGTGAGCTTCATACGCCAGTTGTTGGAGGTTTGGAATCAGGGTTTAGCCATCTCCCCTAGACTGTCATCCAATGGACAGTCAGCCCGGTGAAGAGCGCCGGGCATCCGCTTTTGCCCTCTCACTTTGGTGAAAAACACCTCCGCCACGTGAAGGCAGTGAGTAGGACTTCCTCAGGAGAGGCTATGTAAGACGCCCGGTCATATGGGAGCATTTCAAGAGGTGTACGGAGGGGTGGCCAACCCGCAGCGCAATACACCCACCCCCGACCATCCTGAGGCTTTGGAGGCAATTTGATCATATCTTCACCCTTTGACAGATTCTGGAGCATAGATATACTTATTGTTGGTGTTCAACAGTCGTCATATTTCTTGACCTAAAAGCGGCATTCGATTCTGTCGACCAAGAGCTACTATGGCAATGTTTGGCTGTGGAGGGAATGCCGAAAACATACATTGCACTGATCAAGCCACTCACTCTACTCGAACTCATGCAGCTAGGTGTGAACTTACGGCGAGTTTTCATCTGGATTGGTGACAACTAGTGGTATCCGTCAGGGATGCCGACTATCACCATTTCTCTTTAGTTTCGTCATAGATGTACTAATGGAATTAACCCTGACTCACTTCAGAGACTCAGGGATTGACTTGTTACTAGGGAAAAATGTCGCTGACTAGGAAAATGCGGATGATGGAGTCCTTGTAGGTGGTGACGCTGACAAATGTAAGAAGATGCTACAGAACTGGACTACATCGACTCAGCCTTTAGATAGGGAGACTGTGAAGTCGTAGAGCGTGTTGATCACTTCACTTATTCGGGAAGTTGCACCTGCCAGTGTCAGCGGATTCACCGCCGACGAAATCTCAATGGATATAGAAGGCCCGTTTGACATACGCCAACTGACACCATCTCTGGCTTAGTAGACGTGATATCCGGCTGACTGTCGAACAAACGACGTGTGTACTGCTCAGCAATTCACTCCGTCCTCCTTCATGGCTGTGACTGACTTGGACATGACCACTTCGAGTGGAAGACATGATTAGGCTGGCTAGCTGTCTTTGATCGTATGTGCAACTCTATTCATCTATCTGTCTCCGTTGGGTGGTATAATAGGATGAACAATATTGATGTTAGGCATAGGTCGAGTGCTAGGTAAGGAGTAGAAATCAGTTGATTAGGTTGTGAAACAGCTGAATCGATTGAAATGGTTAGGACATGTGTCGCGCGTGTTTAACCATCGCCTTCCTCAACAGGCGATGTCAACTGATATAGGATTGGTCAGGTTGGTAAAGAGCCAGTGGTGGTCAAATCAAAACAACTTCATCAGTCAATGAAATCCACAACAGTTAGCTTAAGCCAGCCAGTTACATAAGGAGGTGTAGAACGGCTCCTGGGTTGGGTTTCTCCGGATGGCAAGGACCATTGAAAGCTGGAGACAATCGGTGATATGACTCGAAGTCGTTCACAATAGTGCAGATGCATTCACTCTTTGTGCTTTACCATATCCAATAAAACTATTGTTTTTCTCTCACACTTTTGTTTTTTATCTGTCGTTTGAGCCTTCCTTAGCTTCTTCTCTTCGTTTGTGTGCTACCAGGAGGGAGAGTGGCAACTCGAGCATTGAAACCAGTTATTCAGTCAGACACAGACTATGAAACTATATTTCTTGATGTCTACCACGATATCATACTTCATTTTTAATTGACGTTGAGTTTCTTTGTGGTTTTCTGGACAATAATAAGCAGCGTTCGAAAATTTTAACTTGATCGTATAACAGGCAGAAGACAGCTTTATGTTTAGTTTGGGTGGAGAAAACCCTTCAGAGCTGTACTGTACGCAGCTACAGTATCGTATCTGTGTGTTAATAATTGCGTTAGATGACAGTAATGACTATTCGCCTTTGTTTTAGTAACTTTCTTCACTTTGTCTGAGCCTCTAGTTTGAATATAAATGTGTAAAATACTTTCAATATTGCAAATCCTGTGTAAAATGTAGACATCCTATGCTTGTTTTTATGATTCACATTCTGACTGAAGTCCTGTTGGCAGATGGTCTGATTGTCGTAGACGTTTTTGGTACAGTTGTTGTAGTCTGAGTACGGAACATACAATTTTATACATGGCTTAGGTCATCGTAGTAGCAATGGCTTTATTCAAGTTAGTGACTTTATTGATGAGTGCTATATTCTGCCCCAGCTACCAGTTGTTTTAGCTTAATTTCCACTGAACTAGCATTTTGCACCGAAAGTGGGTGTGTTTGGCCTGATTAAGGTTATTCTCAGCCATATGTGACTGGCGCTTTTCTAACACAGCATTTGTGAATCCAACATTACTCATCTAATGTTATGTTCTAAATCTTACCCTACTTATTTTACTTTTTTGAAAACTTGGTGTTTCATATGGGTAACTACTGTATGTTTATATGCATTTAGATGTATGTCTGTTGAATCGTATTTTCACAATTTTAAACTCTACAGTCATCCAATAGCTGATAATATCCTTAGGGCACAGAAGACAGTTATTTGCATTATTTACTGCAAATCATTCCTATTTTCTTATTGTTTTCTGTCTTTTTGACAGTAGACTTGTTTCCGTTCAGTGACTGACTGATTTGTAGTATAAGATTAAAATGCTGTTATAAAAATATCGATGGAAAGTTCAAACTATTCAGTAAAACCTGAAGGTGTTTAGTGGTACTGCAAAGTCAATTTTAATTCTTGTTCATTATCACCGGGATAAGCGCTAATTGATTCATGCTTTCATTCAATGTTCTCCAGTCATGGTATCTGAGATAAAGAGGTTTTTTCGTAGATTACTTACCCATGACTTTAAAAGACAGGTGGTTCTGGATTTTTGTTGTTGTTTTATTTAAACAGTGTGATGACTAGGTTTTCTTACTGAATGATGAAAACGTTGTTATATCACTAGCTCGTGTAATCATTATCTTGTACTTTATAGCCATGTAAGATTGTTAAACAATGACTTCAAGTTATAGTATCACAGGCTATCATTTTCGGTTTCATGAAAGTATACCTGTTAGTTTTGTTGTTCTTCAGTCTTAATTTTCGTTACTAAAATTGCTGTTGTTTTCAGTGCCCCTTTCACACCCACTGCGTTTATTGTTTCCACTCTAAGTATCTATGACCAGTAAGGCAATTTAGTAGTTATTTCTTTTGGTTCACTTGCTTATAGAGGCTTTTCATATTACGAATTGTGACTGTCATAGTTTCTAGTATATCCATACGGTAGTAATGTGAGTGCTTGGTTAATCATTACTCTCTACTTATGCGCTTAGCTTTGTATTATTCAACTATTGAAAATTTTTGCATCCAGTAACAAAAATTATTTTTGTTGGATTTTTTTAAATTCATAAATTTATTATTTAGTTCACTTTCATATCTTACTTTTGATTTAATTCGTTTTCTTTGGATAGTAAAGTCGTTATTCGACTACAGTGAGTATTGTTTCTGAAACTGTAGGTATGTACATGAATCGGCCATCTGATAGCGTTTCTATCAAAATTTGTTGTAATGTAGTAATAAATGAATTGTTATGCAGTTGTATATGTAGGGATTTGATTGATTTCACTGTAGATTTCGTCGTGAATCGACATCAGTCTGGGCATTGTTGGAAACCATAGAGCTATTGACAACAGTTTGGTCCCCCTGTGTACTCATGACGGCCATACGTAGAATCTAAGCCAGGTTCTTCTGATCGGGAGGTGGGCACGACTGAGTTGAAATCCAATGGCTCAATATAGCTCCAACGTCAACCAAAGTTGCCGGGGAATGCCTGTCCTCACTCAATTTCATGTACCCCATCGGCTCTAGGTCATATCACTGTTAGGATGTTTTGTACCCACTGCTAATGTAGAGCTCTAAATTGGGACGGAACCATATGTCTGGGTGTCTCCCTGGTTTCCAACAATTTTCTAGTTGACTTCAATTCATGATTGAATTTGTATTAGTGTTCATGAAATTGTATTTGTAGTTTTTATGAATTACTCCAGGATGATATAAAACAAGGGAGTAAATGTAGGGTTATGTAGAAGATAGTGCTTGAGTTCAAAATACTGCCAGACACACTACACATAGCGTATTAATAATACAAGTTAGCTGGTTTCCATAACACTGCTTCATTTTTATAAAATTGGGTCTACTTTAATATGCTTATTATTGTAAGAATACACCTGAAAGGCATTTCCAAATTATTCTATTTCTTAGATGCCAGAAAAAGTTCTTGACGCCCCAGACATTGTTGATGATTTCTATCTAAACATTTTGGATTGGTCAGTGGATAATATACTGGCGATAGCATTAAATCGAGAAGTTTATCTTTGGAACTCAATTACGGGTCATATTACATGTCTGATGTCTAGTGGTTATGAAGATGAATACATTTCCAGCTTAAAGTGGTCGCCTGACTCTCCCAACATCATAGCAATTGGTTCTAGTGCTGGTCGTGTACAACTGTGGGACATTGTTAACCAGTCATTAATGCGTACAATGCGTCTTGGAGGTGTGAGTTCAGGTGGTCGTGTTCCTGCAGTTGTGTGGCGTGAGTACCTAGTTTCCAGTGCATCTAGAACTGGACATATTCGACACCACGATACACGTATTGCTCATCATGAAGTTGGTGTTGCTGACTTTCATACCCAGGTAAGTTGTATTTTTACATCTCGAATTAAAGAATTGCGGGACATAGTGACTGTTTTTTTGCTTATTTTGTGCACATTCTATGTGCTTTAAAGTTAGCATCACTCCGACATTCCAGTAATCACTATGTATGTTGGCTGTTTTTATTTCTACTTTCATGTATGTCATTTTAATTTTTATATGGACCATAAATTACAGACATTAGTTAAAATTGAATTTATACTTGGAGCTGTGTATAGTAGAGTAAAACCTTAGTAAGATTCAGCTGGAAACAACATTGTTCGTTTTCATGTTTTTTGTTTTTAAAAAAGCAACACATTGGCTACTATCATCGAGGTTGTGTAGTCGTTTAGTTCATCACTTGTTTTAGACATCTACCTGATTTTCATGCGTTGGCAGTTTACTAGTAGAATTTCCCCCAAATATGCACGTGCCCCGGGGTTCGATTCGCGGCTGGCGCGCTCGTAAACCTCGCTTAGCGGGTAGTGGGGCCAACAGAGAGAAGGTTAGGTATACGGTTAGAAACCTCATCCAATAAAAGAGAAACACCACCGCTACTAGAACTTTAGAATTGAATCCTGATGCTCTAAGTTTCGCTCGCAACACAGAGAAATGAAGTAAAACCGAATCTGTAACCATTTATTAAAACCTTGTTTCATACAACCTCATATGGTTTGTATACATATGACTGTTTGATATTTGACATTCGCGATAGAAACATTTTATTTTGTGATAGGGTTTATTTTGTTTGCACATTATTATTTTTCACTCATTGCTGACGTCCCCAGTGAAACATTAGGTTACCGCTCGAGTCTCTACGATCAATTTCAAACGGCTCCATAATTGCCCATAAGCTTTTCTTTTTTTACATATCACCTTTAGATCCACGTTCAGTACATCATTTCAGCTTCGGATTCCACTCGATGACCTGACCTGTAATTCCCCTTGAATGTCTCCTCATTATATATCCGGTTTACTTCCATTTCTTTCTTCATATTTTTTGGGTAATACGTTCTTGGCTGGCCTATCGCTACAGTTTCTTGTCTTTTCTGGCCGATCATTTGATCTTCATTTTGAATTGAAGTTAGGTATTGATGAAACTCCGCGATAACCTGTTGAAAATGTTTTTAATGATGAACCTAGTCTGTGAAACATATAAAAGCACTGACAGCTTGACATTAGTGTTGAAAATTCGTTTCTTTTCTCATGTTCTAAGTGGTGTGGGGGATCTCCGCACCAGTTTAAGAGTAATAAACACCTGTCTCACTTTCTCGGTCCTGGCTAGCTTTTACATATCTTATCCGTGCCACTTGTTTGTACATAAAGACGTTGATTTATTATGAGTTGATTTTCACAGTTAAGTACCGTAAGTAGCATTTCCCTAACTCGTTGTTGTTGTTATTGTTCTTACGGTTTTTCATGTCCCTACTTAAATTATTTTTCATACGTTTATTTTTATTACTCAACAGGAAGTTTGTGGATTAGCCTGGTCTCCAGATAAAAACTACCTTGCATCAGGAGCTAATGATAATTATGTAGCTATTTGGTCTGCGAATGACAATTCAAAGCCTGTACATGCTTTAAGCGGTCATCAAGCTGCAGTTAAGGCACTAGCATGGTGTCCTTGGAAACCTAATCTTTTATGTACAGGTGGTGGGACATCAGATCATACTTTACGATTTTGGAATACAGCAACTGGTGCATGTGTAAAATCAGTTGATGTAATTGCCCAGGTATGTTTTTGTCTATCAAATTTATTCTTATTTGATTTAATGCGTTTTAAAAAAATGCTTTCTGAAGGTAAAAGCGCATTAAACTGCGTTATATTTAGCCCATAAAAGTGTGACTGATTGGTTTAAACGATTTGGTTTTGACGAATGGAGCGTGACTAACAGCCAGACTCAACTTAAATTGGACTGCCTAACTGATTAAAACTCCTAATAACCATGTATCAGCTTAACTAACTCTCACTGATACGTGATCTGAGTGTAAGATATTTAATGTTGTTATTGTTATTGGGAATCATTAATCATCATTTTACTAGGTGAAGATTGTCTGTCTGTCTGTTTTCGACATAGAACTTTGCACAAATGTGCGGAAGTTCAAGTCGCCACATTCCGTGTAGCACGCGAAGCAAGAGAAGAAAGTACAAGAAAAGCATAATAGAAACAGTGAGCAGAGGTGTGAGACAAAGGAGTAATAAAGAAATACAAAACAGTTTCATTGAAGATCATAAGTCACAGGGAGTGGATGCATCTGCGCCACTGAGAACGATTTTGAGCCATGTCACCAATTGTTTCCAACCATAGATTTTTACCGTCCCGAGGACCCCAGCCTGGAAGTCTACACCTTTCTACGTGGCTTAGACCAACTGTTGTGGATTTCATTGACTGATGCCAAGTTTTTGTTTGACCGCCGCTAGCTTTTTTCCAGCCTGACCCTATATCCGCTAACATTGCTCGTCGAGGGAGGCGATGGCTTGGCATACGTAACACATGTCCTAACCATCTCAGTCTTTGTAGCTTCACGACTTCGTCGATTGATTTCCCCTGTTTACCTAGAACTCTACGCCTAACCTCCATGTTGCTCACCTTATTATGCCACTTTACACGGGAAATAGAACGCAGGCACCTATGATCAAAGACAGCTAGTCTTTTCATGTCTTCCACTCTCAGTGGCCAGGTCTCACAACCATAAAGGAGGACGGAGCGGACTGATGAGCAGTACACCCGCCCTTTGGTCGATAGTCGAACATCTCGTCTACGCCAGAGTCGGCGTAAACTAACAAATGCGAAACGAGCCCCTTGTATTCGTGCTGAGATTTCGTCAGAGATCAGCCCGTTGGGGCTGATGGTACTTCCCAAATAAGTGAAGCGGTCAACGTGCTCTACCACTTCACTTCCTATTTTTAAACTAGGCGTCGATGTAGTCCAGTCCTGTAACATCATCTTGCATTTGGCGGGAGCGAATCGCATGCCAAACATTCGTAGATTGCGGCTCAAGGTGTTTAGAAGACTCTGCATTTCGTCAGCGTCTTCGCCTAGAAGGACTATATCGTCTGCATATTCCAAGTCAACGAGATTATTCCCCGGTAGCAAGTCAATCCCTGAGTCGCTGAAGTCACCTAGGGTTAAGTCCATTAACACATCTATGATGAAGTTGAATAGAAAAGGAGATAATGGGCATCCTTGACGGACACCACTGGTCGTCATCAGTTCAGATGACAGCTCGCCGTAAGCCCTCACCTGGCTGTATGAGTACGAGTAGAGTGCCTTAATCAGTGCAATATATTTTCTTGGAATTCCCTTTACAGCCAAGCATCTCCAGAGAACTTCCCGATCGACAGAGTCGAATGCTGCCTTTAGGTCAAGAAATATAATGACTGTTGGACGCCGGTAGGAATGCCTATGTTCTAGAATCTGTCGGAGGGTGAAGATATGATCAATACACCCTCTTCCTGGTCTAAAGCCTGCCTGGCTCTCTCGTGTTTGTGCTTCCCGAGCACCACTCAGTCTACGCATGATTATTGAGCCTAAGACTTTAGATACTATATTAGTCAAGCTAATCCCTCTGTGATTATCACAGGAAGACTTGTCTCCCTTCTTGTATATGGGGATAATCAGTGACTTACACCAACCCGATGGGACTTCTTCTGATTCCCAGACGCTGCCTAGTACCTCAGTTAATCCGGACAGTAAGCTGTCTCCACCGTACTTAAATACCTCTGGAGTCATTCCATCAGGTCCCGCTGCTTTGCCTAGTTTCAGATTGGTGACAGCTTTAGTAACCTCAGTTAGTGACGGAGGACCTGTGTTTATATCCCATTCAGGGAGGTGTTGGATGCTCGGAAGGTTGAGCGTGGCTGTGGGCAAATTAAACTGCTCCTCATAATGCTCTTTCCAACGATCCAGTCGTCTATCCTGGGAGCTAATTATAGTGCCATTTTTTTCCGAGATTGTCTCACTGATGATTTGTCTTCTCCCACCCGTTTCCCTGATGAGTCTAAAGAGTTGCCTGGTGTTGCCTATCCTCGAAGCTTTCTCCATCTCTTTGGCTTTTGTCGCCCACCACTGTTCACGGTCCTTGCGGAGACTTTTCGTAAGTTTCCTCTTGTGCAGCTTTCGCTCCTCATTGAATTCGGAGCTCGCCGGAATAAGTCTTCTAGCATCTATCAGTTCGGATGAGGCGGTGGAGATCCAGTGGTTTTTACTCACCTTTGGGTTTACCTTATTCACAGCTTTTACAGCTGTATCTATGGCTGCCTGGATATTTTTCCAAGCTTCTTCAGGGTGAGCACAGCTGTCGAACACAGATATGTGTTTAGCTAGTTCTTCCTGAAATACGGATTTAGTTTCCTGATCGAGCTGGGGACGTGATGGTTTTACCGCCAGCTGTTTCCTACGTCCGTTCAGTCGTAAGCACACCCGAGCGCGGACCAGTGCATGGTCGGTATCTACGCACGTGTTCCAGAAGGAGCGACAATCTCCTACCGACCCACGCCAACGATAGCTTATTGCTATGTGGTCTATTTGTGTCCAGCGTTGGTTTGATGAAGGGGGTCTCCAAGTCAAACAGTGTCTCTCCTTGTGTTTAAAGTTAGTGCTTACAAGAAACAAATGATTATCAGAGCAGAACTGTAGGAGACGGTCACCGTTGTCGGTTCGCTGGTTCGCTGGTGAAGATTAGATTGTTCAAATGTTTTATAGCATTAAAAATCAGGGAATTATCTTTTCTTTTTCTTGACTCCATGCTTAAGCTTGCGTCATTGTTTAAATGAACACGACTAAAAGCTGAAGTGACATAGTTATGAACATGCTTATTTCATATTTAGGCATAGGAATTTTTTGTATTTGTGTTAATTAGCTAACTCATAAGATAGTCTGTGATCAGTAGGATACTAGAATGAATCAATTCCTCACAAACCTCTTTTAAAAAACTAGTCTTTTCTGCAAACTAATCTATAGATAATAAATGACATCCTTTACTTTATTTCTCCTTAAAAGCGAATCTTTCCTATTCGTTTCTATATATGTATATACAATTGTTCCCTTGGGTTCCTAGTGGAACATAGGGCCACTGTCACTGCGCATCTCCACTTTCTTCTGTCTTCTGCTGTACTTTTCACCTGCATCCATGTTAGTCCATACTGTTTCGACTCCTCTTCACACGATCTCCTCCATGTCACCCTTGGACGTACCACTCGCCGTTTCCCTTTTGGGTTCCACTCAAGCAATGGCCTGACGCGCGATGTCACCCAGTGGCCTCCTCAGCGAGTGTCCAATCCACCTCCACTTTCTCTTGCATGGTATTCTAAATCCCAAGGTAGAAAGAGCAAATTAGTCGATGAGTTTTGCTAAACTTCTTCTGTGACAGACGTGACTGTTCATAAATAATCCCCATGCAGACATCAACGAAAACATAAAACGTGGTTCAACGAAGAGTCTGTTTTCGGCGAATTCATTTTTTGTTTGTTTGTAGCACAATCACGTTTATATGCAATTTTTTTTTATGGAGGAGGGTATTAATATAAAAGTGATGAGTTGTCATTGATTACTGGTAATATGTCAATGCATAAAAGAAGTTGAACAATTGCTTTAGAGTTCCGTAATAAGAGGAAAAATTTAATAAATGAATTGTAATCAGGATTCACATAAAAACAAAGGAAAATATGGAATTACGAAGGCGATCTACAAGAGTTGTAAGGAGTTAGAAATACAAGCAAACAAAAATCAAGTCAATAAAAATCGACAAGATTGCTACCATGATAGTAGAAGTGGTTGAATGATTTCCTTTTGTATACATAACACTGGATTTTCCAACTGAATGGTTAAGTGTTTAACAGTACAAAGGGTATTGCCTTTGGCAGGTTGCTCTTCTTTTTGTAGATTACTTTGGAGGTGACGTTTTTTGAGATGGAATGATCAGTGTTTTCCATCAGATGTTTGATTATCATTCTCCTTATTGAGTCACTACCACGTTTCTACAACCATTGATATAAGAATAAAACTTGTGCACTGTGGTGGAGTATAATTCCATTATGGGTAAATTTTTGTTTTGATAAAGTCTCACAGTGTTATACAGTAATATTCACTGATGACGTTTCGAGCACAATTTATTGCTCATAATCACCTTGATATGATTATGAGCAATAAATTGTGCTCGAAACGTCATCAGTGAATATTACTGTATAACACTGTGAGACTTTATCAAAACAAAATTTACCCATAATGGAATTATACTCTACCACAGTGCACAAGTTTTATTCTTATATCGATGGTTGTAGAAACGTGGTAGTGACTCGTTAAGGAGAACGATAATCACACATCTGATGGAAAACACTGATCATTCCATCTCAAAAAACGTCACCTCCAAAGTAATCTATAAAAAGAAGAGCAACCTGCCAAAGGCAATACCCTTTGTACTGTTAAACACTTAACCATTCAGTTGGAAAATCCAGTGTTATGTATACAAAAGGAAATCATTCAACCACTTCTACTATCATGGTAGCAATCTTGTCGATTTTTATTGACTTGATTTTTGTTTGCTTGTATTTCTAACTCCTTACAACTCTTGTAGATCGCCTTCGTAATTCCATATTTTCCTTTGTTTTTATGTGAATCCTGATTACAATTCATTTATTAAATTTTTCCTCTTATTACGGAACTCTAAAGCAATTGTTCAACTTCTTTTATGCATTGACATATTAACAGTAATCAATGACAACTCCTCACTTTTACATTAATACCCTCCTCCATAAAAAAAATTGCATATAAATGTGATTGTGCTACAAACAAACAAAAAATGAATTCGCCGAAAACAGACTCTTCGTTGAACCACGTTTTATGTTTTCGTTGATGTCTGCATGGGGATTATTTATGAACAGTCACGTCTGTCACAGAAGAAGTTTAGCAAAACTCATCGACTAATTTGCTCTTTCTACCTTGGGATTTAGAATACCATGCAGGAGAAAGTGGAGGTGGATTGGACACTCGCTGAGGAGGCCACTGGGTGACATCGCGCGTCAGGTCATTGCTTGAGTGGAACCCAAAAGGGAAACGGCGAGTGGTACGTCCAAGGGTGACATGGAGGAGATCGTGTGAAGAGGAGTTGAAACAGTATGGACTAATATGGATGCAGGTGAAAAGTACAGCAGAAGACAGAAGAAAGTGGAGATGCGCAGTGGAAGCCCTATGTTCCACTAGGAACCCAAGGGAACAATTGTATATACATATATAGAAACGAATAGGAAAGATTCGCTTTTAAGGAGAAATAAAGTAAAGGATGTCATTTATTATCTATAGATTAGTTTGCAGAAAAGACTAGTTTTTAAAAGAGGTTTGTGAGGAATTGATTCATTCTAGTATCCTACTGATAACAGACTATCTTATGAGTTAGCTAATTAACACAAATACAAAAAATTCCTATGCCTAAATATGAAATAAGCATGTTCATAACTATGTCACTTCAGCTTTTAGTCGTGTTCATTCAAACAATGACGCAAGCTTAAGCATGGAGTCAAGAAAAAGAAAAGATAATTCCCTGATTTTTAATGCTATAAAACATTTGAACAATCTAATCTTCACCAGCGAACCAGCGAACCGACAACGGTGACCGTCTCCTACAGTTCTGCTCTGATAATCATTTGTTTCTTGTAAGCACTAACTTTAAACACAAGGAGAGACACTGTTTGACTTGGAGACCCCCTTCATCAAACCAACGCTGGACACAAATAGACCACATAGCAATAAGCTATCGTTGGCGTGGGTCGGTAGGAGATTGTCGCTCCTTCTGGAACACGTGCGTAGATACCGACCATGCACTGGTCCGCGCTCGGGTGTGCTTACGACTGAACGGACGTAGGAAACAGCTGGCGGTAAAACCATCACGTCCCCAGCTCGATCAGGAAACTAAATCCGTATTTCAGGAAGAACTAGCTAAACACATATCTGTGTTCGACAGCTGTGCTCACCCTGAAGAAGCTTGGAAAAATATCCAGGCAGCCATAGATACAGCTGTAAAAGCTGTGAATAAGGTAAACCCAAAGGTGAGTAAAAACCACTGGATCTCCACCGCTTCATCCGAACTGATAGATGCTAGAAGACTTATTCCGGCGAGCTCCGAATTCAATGAGGAGCGAAAGCTGCACAAGAGGAAACTTACGAAAAGTCTCCGCAAGGACCGTGAACAGTGGTGGGTGACAAAAGTCAAAGAGATGGAGAAAGCTTCGAGGATAGGCAACACCAGGCAACTCTTTAGACTCATCAGGGAAACGGGTGGGAGAAGACAAATCATCAGTGAGACAATCTCGGAAAAAAATGGCACTATAATTAGCTCCCAGGATAGACGACTGGATCGTTGGAAAGAGCATTATGAGGAGCAGTTTAATTTGCCCACAGCCACGCTCAACCTTCCGAGCATCCAACACCTCCCTGAATGGGATATAAACACAGGTCCTCCGTCACTAACTGAGGTTACTAAAGCTGTCACCAATCTGAAACTAGGCAAAGCAGCGGGACCTGATGGAATGACTCCAGAGGTATTTAAGTACGGTGGAGACAGCTTACTGTCCGCATTAACTGAGGTACTAGGCAGCGTCTGGGAATCAGAAGAAGTCCCATCGGGTTGGTGTAAGTCACTGATTATCCCCATATACAAGAAGGGAGACAAGTCTTCCTGTGATAATCACAGAGGGATTAGCTTGACTAATATAGTATCTAAAGTCTTAGGCTCAATAATCATGCGTAGACTGAGTGGTGCTCGGGAAGCACAAACACGAGAGAGCCAGGCAGGCTTTAGACCAGGAAGAGGGTGTATTGATCATATCTTCACCCTCCGACAGATTCTAGAACATAGGCATTCTTACCGGCGTCCAACAGTCATTATATTTCTTGACCTAAAGGCAGCATTCGACTCTGTCGATCGGGAAGTTCTCTGGAGATGCTTGGCTGTAAAAGGAATTCCAAGAAAATATATTGCACTGATTAAGGCACTCTACTCGTACTCACACAGCCAGGTGAGGGCTTACGGCGAGCTGTCATCTGAACTGATGACGACCAGTGGTGTCCGTCAAGGATGCCCATTATCTCCTTTTCTATTCAACTTCATCATAGATGTGTTAATGGACTTAACCCTAGGTGACTTCAGCGACTCAGGGATTGACTTGCTACCGGGGAATAATCTCGTTGACTTGTTCACACCTTTTGTACACTACGTACCCTTTCACTCATACACTTGTGTGACAGTCAATTTCCCTTGTTGGAAAATACACGTATCATGGTGAACGTGGTGGACTTCTGATTTTCCTCTCTACGCGTCAGGACAATTAACTACTCAGCAGTACATAACACTCAAAGTCTTCAAGAGCTGATTCCTGGTTTTGGTTTGACCACCACTGACTGCTTACCAACCTGACCAATCCTATATCAGTTAACATCGCCTGTTGAGGAAGGCGATGGTTAAACACGCGCGACACATGTCCTAACCATTTCAATTGATTCAGCTGTTTCACAACCTAATCAACTGATTTCTACTCCTTACCTAGCACTCGACTTATGCCTAACATCAATATTGTTCATCCTATTATACCACCCAACGCGGGAGACAGATAGATGAATAGAGTTGCACATACGATCAAAGACAGCTAGCCAGCCTAATCATGTCTTTCATTCGAAGTGGTCATGTCCAAGTCAGTCACAGCCATGAAGGAGGACGGAGTGGACTGCTGAGCAGTACACACGTCGTTTGTTCGACAGTCAGCCGGATATCACGTATACTAAGCCAGAGATGGTGTCAGTTGGCGTATGTCAAACGGGCCTTCTATATCCATTGAGATTTCGTCGGCGGTGAATCCGCTGACACTGGCTGGTGCAACTTCCCGAATAAGCGAAGTGATCAACACGCTCTACGACTTCACAGTCTCCCTATCTGAAGGCTACGAGTCGATGTAGTCCAGTTCTGTAGCATCATCTTACATTTGACAGGAACGAATGTTCACTTGTACCCTCCATAATGTCCATTCAGAAGATTTAATCAGTTTTAAACAAATGGGATAATTTGATAATCCTTACTCACAATTTCCCAATGTGTGTTAAACTTTCTTTGTGTTATATAATCAATTAAACAGTTCATTCATTTCGTGTTATTGTTATCCTTTTGATTATAGGTATCTGGTATAATATGGAATACAGAATATCGTGAAATTTTGACTAGTCATGGCGATCCTCTTAAACAATTAGTTATATGGAAATATCCAGATATCACTAAGATTACTGATTTAAAAGGTAAGATTTATTTTAATAGATGCAATAGAATTTTGGCTTTCTAAAGTTAATCTAGGCTAATAACTTTTATTATTATGTTAACCGCTAATTTTATTATTATTTTCAACCATAAATTATATTTGTAATATTTCAATGGTTTCTTCTACACATTGTGAGAAGTTATTTATTTTTTATTTTGATAATATTTTAAGCCAGTTTACTGCCCGTGATCACACCAAATCGTAAGAAAGACTGATAGCGGAGTCTATTTTTCTTTAACATCACCCCGAACACACATGCAACAGTGTGGAGTCAGCACAACTGTCAGCAACCTAGAACATAGTTCTTGATACATAAAAAAGAATCAACATAGAAAAGGATTGTAAATATATATGATTATGGTACGTCGGTGGCTTTCAGTGGTAGAGTCCGGGGTTCGATCTTCAACCGACGCACTTCTAAGCTTCGCTTATGTGGCAGCGAGCCCAGTAAAGAGGGAAGGTTGGGCATGCGGCTAGCAACCCCAGCTCGTAAAAGAACAACACCAAAGATCAAGCTTGAGACTCAACACTCCAATTATTGATTTTATCGTGGGCCTTAATTTTCCTGGAAATATCACCATGATAAAAAAAGTGACTTATCATTGTTTGTAAACACCAAGTGAAGTATAATTATAGTTAATTAGTTTATTTCCCCGACATATTACTCATGACCCCTGTGGTTCGTGATAAAAGTTTAACCAAATGTCTACATTGTATTTTAAGGATATCTCTCGTGTTGTATCAGTGGTATCCTAATTTATCAGGTGTATAATAATTTAGACGACACAGCACATATCTTAGTTAATCGACAGAAATAACAGTACAGCTTGAATACTGATCGTTTCGTTAATTTTAAATATGAAAATGAATAAAGTGTAATAGAGCGCCTACTTATAAAACGAATTGTCGCTGTCTAGCACTCAGTTTTTGTCAATATGCTGTTAACCCCCAAGTAAGTGATCATCAGCATACAGTCAGTCTGCCCGTCTATACGTTCACAAATTTTGTATGCACTTGTAGAGAGTAAATTTATTTGTAGAATATAGATGACATCTTTCAAAAAATTGTAGTCGTTCTTTTCGAATTTCATAATGAAGACTATAATAAACGACATATCCTATTAGTTTTTATTTTGTTTATAATATTAAAAGTATAAAACATGAACTCTAGGTCAGTTTAAAAGCCTGTCGAAACTTCCTTCATAGGCCTCTCTATATCCTAATATTATTGAGTTAAAAGATCGATTTTCTTAACGTCTAAATCTCTCTCTTAAAATTATTTGAAGCAGTTAGTTCCCTTTATGAATTTCGACAACACAATAAGAAGACGTAGTTTATCTGAAGCGTGTAATGTATTGGCGCAACACATTTCGGACATTCTGATCACACACTCACTTGTCATACACAGTTTTTATAGAAGGCAAGAAGGCATGAATAATTATAATGCAGATCAGATTGTGTACAGGTCAAAGTCACAAATAATGGGTAGGGAGGCGCAAAAAGTGTGGGTAAGAAAGATAAAGAGAAAAACAAGGCAAAGAAGGGGTTGAGAATATTATGAAGTAAATTGGTCCTTGTTTCTAAATTGGATTACCAAGGCAGGTTTAAAGTACTAATAAATAACTTTTGGACACATAAAACAGGTTTAAGTCTTTTTATGGCTATGGCTTCAATGAATTTAAGTATGTGACCCAACCTTGTTTTATATATGGGCTTAAAGGTATTGTTGAAATCAACCTTATGACCCGTTTCTATAATGTGCTTCGCTATAGATGATGTTGGACATCTATTTCCGGGGTCAATTGTATCTGGCGATTTTATTTGTTGTTGCAGCTACTTTGAAATGTGTTCTGTAGCCCTAACCTGCAGAGACCGATGGGTCCTCCTTATGTATGTGTCTCCACACATACATGTAAATTGATAAACACAGTGGGATGTGACACTATCGTTCGGATAATGTGCGGGTTTACAGGACGGCATAGTCCTAGTTTTCTCCAGGAAGATAAGTTTAGCTGCATAATAAGTTCTATCAATTATGGCCTTGAGTCTTTGTCTAGTGATCAGACTCTGTTGATCACCTCTGAACGGCAAACATATGTAAACATCCTTTTTGGGAGCTGATTGGTTTGATAGAGCTCTATGGTTGACACTTCCGTAACGCCTAATAAATCTCAGCGGGTGATTGTTATCTAACAATATTTCAGTGAGGTGTTGTCTTTCTTCTTCAGTTGTACCAACAGTACATATACGGTGAATGCGCTTGAACAAACACTTAAACAATGCATTTTTATACTGTAGTGGACAGAAATTATAATAACTTAGATACTGTCCCGTCCATATGGACTTTCTGTAGACAGATCGTTTTATTTACCCATCACGGCGGGTTATGAGTACATCTAAAAATGGCAGGCAACCATTATTCTCTTTGACGTATGTTAGCGATGTACACTTTTGTACTCTGTTGATCTGGTTTAGGATTTCTATGGCATCTGTCGGTTTATCACAAATGACTATTATGTCATCTAAATATCTTTTATAGAAATAAACTTCTCCAATTTCTTTCTCCACCAGGTTCTCAACATGCGGCATATATATATATATATATATATATGCTAACAATGGACCTAGGGGGCTTCCCATAGCAACACCATCGATCTGGCGATAATGCTTGTCCTCGAATGTAAACTTAACATTGTTAATACATAGAAGCACTAACTCTTTTAAATAAGATATGGGTACTGGTAATAGGAGACTGTTGTCAGAGATGTAATCATATAAAATGTCAACCGTCTGTAAAAGAGGTACATTTGTAAATAAAGAATCAACATCTAGGGAAAACATAGTTTTGTCCTTTATATCAACGTTATCAAGACAATCAGTTAACTGAAAAGTATCTTCCAGTGAGAAATTACAGAAGCTTTTTCTAATAGGCTCTAATATTTCTACTAGCCACTGTGCAAGTTTGTGGGTTGGAGATCTGCATATGGTACGTAGAGTAATGTTAGTTTTATGTGTTTTGGGCAGACCATACATGTGTGGTAATTGGGACTGCGTGGGCTTTAGTGAATTGAATTCCTCTCTCTTTTAATCGCATTCATGTTTAAGAGTTTTACTAGATTATTTGTCACTACATTCTGTACATTCTTCACATCTTCCAGATTGGAGTCCCGTAAATTTATTATTATTATTTGATAATAAATAATGTAGTGAAAAAATTGACTTAGTCTTGGGTTTTTAAAACGTCTACTACTACAAGTTGATTTTATTTTGTTTTTGTTGTTGTTCGCAGTATATGAGGAATGATAACATTTTTATTAGCTTGGTAGTTATACATATTAACTTTGGCAGATTTTCTGTTTCACTTTGTCATTCAAGATTGATTACAAACTGACTTCATTTAGAGGACTGTTGAAAAACTACTAGTACTGGACAGCTTTTTCGTCCTTCTTTGGAACTGCTCAATGGTATTCATTGGTGAACCACGACGAAATCCAGGGAGTGGATGGTTAGTCACCTTAACTTGTTATCCTGAAGCAGGACCATGAGTGCGAACTAATGAAGAGACCCAAACAAGGATGAAACAACTTTCTAGTTCCCTAACTGTAATCAGTTCGTGATCAGTTTTGAAGTCAATCAAATCTTCGCAAACCAACACTTAGAAATTCACCTAGTGTTTGTGGTAGTTGTGTTAACGTTAGGTGTTCCTCTGCAGCTAATGCATACCATTTATAATAAGCTTGTTTTTTCAGTGTTTCGTTTCTGTCTTTTTCTATGTTTCAGAACATCAAAGTCGTGTTTTATGTATTACATCATCACCAAATAACGAGATGGTTGCCAGTTGTGGAGCTGATGAAACCTTACGAGTTTGGTATTGTTTCCAAGTTGATCATAACAAGAAACGTATGGAAGAGAAACGTCAACGACCTTCAGTGTATGCTCGTGGGATACGGTGATGAAATACACACAGACGTCAAATTCATATTTTTGTCACGATTTGTCCTTTTGTCTTAAATTATTATTCTATTGCAATGTTGTTCTGTGTATTGCGCGTCTTTTTTAAGTGAATATGACACTGAAGCGTCGACACTATTATACCGTAATTGTTCCTATTGACATTCACAAACACTATGATTATATGTATACATCAGTTGTAATGCATTTCCTTGAAATAGATATATTTTAATTAATGATTTCATTACCAAATGTTTATTTGGAAATGATTGTTCAATTTTGTGTATGTACATGTTGACGAAGGGTTATGGAAGTTATCTGCTGCGCATTTTTTAAACGAACTACTCTTCTCCCTATATGTAACTGTAAATTATAAATTAAACCTTTTGACGAAAAGTTGTCCTATAGTTTTATGTCCTGGTCACAATTTAAACCAAATGTTTTCAATTTTGGCTGCTTCTTATCAGTTCACGTCTCTATACTACTGATAAATCTTGTCAGTAGCACACGCTACGTTATTAATAATTATTGTAGTTATTTTCTCCTTGGGTTTCAAGTGGAAAAAATATGGCTTCAACAACAGCTTTCAATTTCTTCTTGTTCTCTACATTCCCCTATGGCTGGCCTCATGATTATCCATAAGCTCTCATCTCCTCGTCACATGATATTCCCCATGTCTTTCTCGGACGAACAACTTGCCTTTTCCCCATTCAGTTTTCACTAGAAGTCCTGGCGCGCTGTGTCATTCAGCAGCCTTCTCGGTATGTGTTTGACCCATCTCAGTTTCCTTGGGAATATATGTTGTATGATAGATTCCTGTCCTTCAGCATAGAACGAAGGTATCTGTTGAAAGTCTGCAGCCTGTTGTATGCTTATATGATCCTAGTTATCTAACATACTTTTGATTTTGACCTTAATTTATTTAATTCTGTGTGTTGTGGCAACTAATTTCTTGATAATTTCATGGAGTTCTCTTCAACAGAATCTACTGAGCCGTTTTTATGCTGATTTCACCGTGATTCTCACTACCGGAATGCGCGCATGAAGATATTTACGAATAATTTCATTTTTTTTAAAGCACTGGATTTTAAAAATACGATGATTTCTTATTCGTGCTTCTGTCTGTGGCCGTTGTGTGGAGTTATTGATTAGTCTGCGAAAAAGAAGACTGTAAGCATACTAAGTGTTAGAGCAAACTTTGGTCACTGCTACAGCATATAATATCATATTAGATATAGATACTGCACGTGAATATGCGTATAAAACTTGGGCAGTGTGGTAGAGCATAACTCCATTATGGATAAGATTTTATTTTGACAAATCACACAATGTTGTACAGTAATATTAACTAATGACGTTTCGAGCATCAATCCATGAAATCCTTGACAGTTAAACTGAGTCAGGTAGGGAGATGCAGACTCCCGGGTTGGGGCCCTCGGGACTCTAGGAATCAATGGCTGGAGACAATAGGTGACATGGCTCAAAATCGTTGTCAATGGCGCAGATGTATTCAATCTCTGTAATCTTTCATATTCCTTTCTACCATTACCCATTCTGTTTCACTCTTATATCTGTCAAACTCTATAAATTCTCTTCACTCATCTTCTTGTCTACCTCTGTGCTATTTGGAAGGTGGCAACTCGAACTGCTGCACTTCGGTGCCAAGTTCTATGTTGAATCCAGACAGACAGACAGACAGACAAATTATTACTGCTCATAATCATATCAAGTTGAATATTTTCGCCAGTAAGTTGATCGCGTTAAAATCTTTTTCATCACCACTGTTAGACTAGATGTGATTTTATTTCTCTTGAACCGATATACTTTTATGCTAAGTTGTACATTTTTTCGTCGTTGATCCATTGGCAATATTGCAAAGTGAGTAATCATATTCTTTCGGCGTTAAGGAAATATCTGACATGTAGGTGGAATTCTCTATGTAGCTGAATAGTGTATCCCCTCCTGACTGATCTTTCTACTTTCGATAATCAATTGCAATAAATAGTGGAAATCTAATTCAGAGTGTATTACAGAGTGTCTTATTATTATTGTTCCTTATATTCCCGAGTGGAACATAAGGCTTCAACAGCACGTCTCCACTTTGTTCTTTGTTCTACTATCTTCTTTATCTGGTCTCACGTTTGCCTATAGTCTCTCATCCTCTCCTTGCATGATCTCCATGTCATCCTCGAACGACCCACTCGTCGTTAACCATTCTGGTTTCCATTCTTGGGAGTTGACACTCGATGTCATTCGATAGTCTACTTAGCAAGTTTTTTATCTCTATTTTCTCCTACATATTTGTTGAGCGATAGGTTCTCGGTTGGTTTGTTCCAACGGTTTCTTGTTGCCAGTTCATTCTGGCCAGCCATTTGATCTTCAATATAGAGCGGAGGCAGCTGTTGGAAATGCTTTTCGTTACACTCCAAGTTTCTGACCCATATAGAAGAACTAAATGACTTTTGTGTTGAAAATCTGGATGTTGTTATTTATGCTGAGTGCAGAAGATTTCAAACTGATTCCTGATTGAGGAAGGTGTATCTTACCTTTATGATTCTGGCTCTGACACTATCATCCGTTACATCTGTAATTAAAACGTCGCATCTCAGAAAAGTGAAGGAAGTAGCATCTTTCGCATTTCTTCCGTTGACGATGATTGGTCCTGGTTGTTGTTGTTGCCGTTGGTTGGTTATCTTCATTATTTCCATCTTCTGTATGTTCACTGGAACCCTTACTTCACTCATTCTGTCAGCTTTTGGGCTCACTCCTGTACATTCCGGGTTTGTGTGATATTCGTAATAAACCTCTCGCGAATTCCAGATATCCGAGAGTCTTCAGAGGTGAAGCCAGTAATTCTTTTCAGTTGAAGATTTGTTGATGTAGCAAGATAAAATAATAAGCATCTAAATAAGGTTCGGTGAATATTATGATCTCATTCACCTTCGTGTCATCCTTGTTGTAGCACATCAGAATGACATTTCTATCACCATCATTGAGAATGCTCATATTCATCTGAGTATACAAACCTATGTCAACCATTTATGGAGTGACTAAGCAAGTCGATTGATTATCACGAAACTGTTTCGATAATCTTGAATCTAAGCGACAGTGTTCATTTCCATCAAATGGTTAGAGTTAGGGATATGCTTGATTATGTGATGGTTTTCTTCATGTTTCGACATCAACTGAAAACTGGACAATATCTGAATGGTGAACATGCTTTTTGCATATGCTGAAGTCTGGAGATACTCTCAATTGAAGGATAAATGTTGTGTCTATGCTGGATTCCACAAAAAGGTAAAAACTACTGCCCAGCAGCCCGTTGTACTGTTCAGGATTTCTGTAATTGACATTCACCTTGATACATATCTGTAACATTTCTACCATATCTTTACACTGTTAAGAAAAATATAGTAATTGTATTATTATTTCTTTGGGTTCCTAGTAGAATATTGGGCTTCAACAGTACGTCACAATTTCATACTGTTGTCAGCACATGTTCTTTGCTTGGCTTCACGATTGCTTATGAGCTGTCATCTCCTCTTCATACTATCTCCATTTCACTCTCCGACACGCCCCGCTCCCCGTTTCCTATTCATTTTCCATTCGAGCGGTGGCCTGTTGTGTGATATCATTCGACGGTGTCCTCAGAACGTGTCCAATCCAACTCCATTTTCTTCGTCATATTTTTTTGGATGATAGGTCCTTGGTACAGTGGTTGACAGAGATACTTGTCACTTATGCATTCCGTCCAGCTGTGTGATCATCAGTATGGGACTAACAGAGAATCCTGTTGATACGTGCCTGCAATAGGCTACTAGAAACGATTTGGTGACTCACACTTGAAGTCTCTGGACCATATAGAAGCACTGACTGACTGTGGTTGGGACAATAATGCCTAGATCAGTGAAAAAAATGGCATCCTTCAAATTTATTCCGTTGATAGCGTCTAGCACCTGCTATTTTTGGTGGTGATGGTTGTCAATCTTCATCACTACTGTATTCTGTACGTTCAGTTGAGGTCCAGTCTTCACTGTTTCTGTCATCTTTTGAGTTTACGCCCGTAGATCCTCTAGTTTGTGTGACTGTCTGTCTGTCTGTTTTCGACATAGAACTTTGCACAAATGTGCGGAAGTTCAAGTCGCCACATTCCGTGTAGCACGCGAAGCAAGAGAAGAAAGTACAAGGAAAGCATAATAGAAACAGTGAGCAGAGGTGTGAGACAAAGGAGTAATAAAGAAATACAAAACAGTTTCATTGAAGATCATAAGTCACAAGGAGTGGATGCATCTGCGCCACTGAGAACGATTTTTAGCCATGTCACCAATTGTTTCCAACCATAGATTTTTACCGTCCCGAGAACCCCAGCCTGGAAGTCTACACCTTTCTACGTGGCTGGCTTAGACCAACTGTTGTGGATTTCATTGACTGATGCCAAGTTTTTGTTTGACCGCCGCTAGCTTTTTTCCAGCCTGACCCTATATCCGCTAACATTGCTCGTCGAGGGAGGCGATGGCTTGGCATACGTAACACATGTCCTAACCATCTCAGTCTTTGTAGCTTCACGACTTCGTCGATTGATTTCCCCTGTTTACCTAGAACTCTACGCCTAACCTCCATGTTGCTTACCTTATTATGCCACTTTACACGGGAAATAGAACGCAGGCACCTATGATCAAAGACAGCTAGTCTTTTCATGTCTTCCACTCTCAGTGGCCAGGTCTCACAACCATAAAGGAGGACGGAGCGGACTGATGAGCAGTACACACGCCCTTTGGTCGATAGTCGAACATCTCGTCTACGCCAGAGTCGGCGTAAACTAACAAATGCGAAATGGTTTACGTGGGCCTAGATCACAGCCTGTGATCAATTGTTGGATTCTTTTCTCATCCGACAGACTGGTACGTTGTATGAGGAGGGCTTTAAGTTTATCAAATTGATGTTCTGTCGGAGGATCTTCGATGAAATCGCTGATTTCTGTCAATACTGACGGAGGGAGTTC